TGCCCAATGATGTGTGCTGGATCTCCTGTCCAATCTATAAGCAACAAAAATAAAGCTAATTGATGGTTAGGAGACAGCCACTAAATGTTTATTTTATTTACAGATTAGGTGAAGTGATCAACAGAGGACAAATGAGAGGAGCAATAAAACATCTATACTTCCTAGCAGGCTTCTTCAAAACACTTTGACTTTGGGTATTGAGGGAGTCCGTGTAATGTTTATACTTGCTGTGCCTGTATTGGATTGGGAGATAGTCTGTTTTATTGATTCTAGTGTGAGACTAAATTTAGCTGCATGCTGTAACTAGCAGCTAGTGCTGCGTTAAACTTTACTTAAACTGATTGGGAGATTGGCACTTGGCAGGCATTTTGTCATTGATCCTAGTTTAAGACTAGCTTACCAATATACACCTGTTAATATATATATATATATATATATATATATATATATATATATACTGTATTTCCTGGCGTATAAGATGACTTTTTAACCCTGGAAAATCTTCTTCAAAGTCGGGGGTCGTCTTATACGCCGGGTATAGGGTCTATATGGCTGCCGGGGGCGGCCTGTGCCCCCATCGCTGGCCCTTCTAATGCTGCAGTCACCTGAGCGCTCTATAGAGAGCGCTCAGACGGCTGCCGCACTGCCTCTCTTCTCACCTCCCCTTCCCTGTGCAGAGTGGGTGCCAAGCTCCTCTTCGTCCTGTCAGCCAGAGTGCTCACTTCCTTTCAGTCCGGCCGGGAACAGGTAACTGAATCTCCTGTACCGCGCGGTACCCGGCCAGACTGACAGGACGAAGAGGAGCTCGGCCACCCACTCTGCACAGGGAAGGGGAGGTGAGAAGAATGTAGAGAGGATTGGGGGGGAGTAAAAAGAATATATCTCAATTAGCCTACTGTGTGCTAGACCAGCAGGCATGGATTATGTGCCCAAACAGCCTGGCACATACCTGGGCTTTAAATGCTATTTCAGATCATTATTTAATGTCTTGCTGTGTAGCTCTGTCTGCTCACTGTACATCATGGCTAATTTTTACTTGGTGTGCATTCGAAGAGGGCTAGTCTTATACGGCGAGTATATCCCAAACTCTATATTTTAACTGGAAAAGTTGGGGGTCGTCTTATACGCCCAGTCGTCTTATACGCCGGAAAATACGGTATATATAATCCAAAAAATAAGGGTGCACTTCAAGTAATTTGATTAAAAAAATTGTGTAATTTATAGCATACAGGCAAAAATTGTAAAACGTCCTGATCAATGTTTAGATCCCTCTGTGGGTCTTTCTCAAGATCAACATGTGAACTATTCAAGCATGAAATATATACAATAAAACTATAGTGACTTATCATTCCAAGTGATGCTCCCCCGTGTACCCGAACTTGGAACTGCTCAATTAGATGCAGTGTGAGGCGTTTGGTCTGACCACTGACAGGCTGACCCCTTATCCCTTCAACCTCTGCAGAAATGACAGCAGCACTCATATGTCTGTTTCCCAAAGACAACCTCTGGATATGATGCTGAGCACATGAGCTCAACTTCTTTGGTTGACCATGGCGAGGCCTGTTCTGAGTGGAACCTGTCCTGTGAAACCACTGTATGGTCTTGCCCACCGTGCTGCAGCTCAGTTTCAGGGTCTTGGCAATCTTCTTATAGCCTAGGCCATCTTTATGTAGAGCAACAATTCTTTTTTTCAGATCCTCAGAGAGGTCTTTGCCTTGAGGTGCCATGTTGAACTTCCAGTGACCAGTATGAGAGAGTGTGAGAGCGATAACACCAAATTTAACACACCTGCTCCCCATTCTCACCTGAGAGCTTGTAACAATAATGAGTCACATGACACCAAGGAGGGAAAATGGCTAATTGGGACCAATTTGGACATTTCCACTAAGGGGTACACTTTTGTTGCCGACGGTTTAGGCATTAATGGCTGTGTGTTAGGTTATTTTGAGGGGACAGCAAATTTACACTGTTATAGAGGCGGGACACTTACCACTTACTACTTTACATTGTAGTAGAGTAGTTGTAGTTTCTTCAGTGTTGTCACATGAAAAAATATAATAAAATATTTACAAAAATGTGAGGGGTGTACTTACATTTGTGAGATACTATATATATATATATATATATATATATATATATATATAGTATCTCACAAAAGTGAGTACACCCCTCACATATATTTTGTTAACTAATTGGTGAAAGAAACTCTTTCTTTTGGGAAGATTGATGTTAGGAATAAATAATTTTGCTTAACTTGAGTAAATGAGTCTATTGTAAAACTATTCTTAGAGGTGTCTGCTGTATCTAGCTATCAGCACTTGAAACAAACTTGAGTGGGAGATAGGAGATTCACTTGGCAGGCATTTTGCCATCAATCCTAACACAAAACTAGTTCACTAATTTACAGTTAAAGCTTTTTTTTTTTACTGTGCTCAGTTGAGTGTGTGCTGTGCCAAGGTGTGAGCAGTGAAGCAATGGGGAGTGTTTTATAATGTTCCCTAGCCATCAATCATATTTTTTCCCATAATCATCTCTATTTTTTGGCGGGCCAAGGTGGAAGTCAGAATCAAAAATTTAAATATGTTCGCCCATTGTGCTGTTCAGTTGGTCTGGGAATCAGATACATTTTGATTTGGAGTTTTGTAATTTGGGAATAACACACTTTGTGTATAATTCTACTTGCCAGAGCATCAGATTTTATATATTTTTTTTATTGTAATTTTGTAGGCATTTCTTGTCAAAGCAACTACATTTTCAGTGTTTATTCAAAATTGAGAATTGTTTGGAATTTAAATTGAATTGAAAAGAAAATCCAAGTCAGCTGTGTTCACAGTTTGGCTAATTTGGCCTTAATTTGGATTTAAACTAAATTAAATTAAATTTCCCACAAATCTTAGTATAATATATAATCCTGCAGTTTTCAAATAAACTTTCCAGTCTAGGATTTTCTCCAAAGATAATGTTAAATTAGTTTTACTTATATTCCACAAGAGCATCAGATGTAATCCTTTTTAGGGGGATTAAGTAAATAATTTAAAAAAGATTTCCTAGAGGCCACTGGTGGTATATCAGATTATTGGAACCATCCGTTGGTGCTTATCAGGTTCTCATTGATTTGTAATAGATTGTATTTGTGTTCTAATGGAATTGCCAAACATCATAATAAATTCTGTAGAATTAGATTATATTCTTCCTTGTACCCATTATTATTTTTACCAGTAGCTTTGACCTGCAAACTAATCATGGTTCTGGAAAGAGGTCTATGCCATCTGCTCCAACCTCTTGTGATTAAATTCCAGCTATCAGACAAGGTAGTCATCTCATCCCTGAAAAGATAAGGATATTATCTGTAAAGGGTTCACTGTGGCCTCATTCAAAGAGTCAACATTTAACTGGTGTTCAAATTATTATTTTATTTTATTATTTATATAGCGCCATCAGATTCCGTAGCGCTGTACAATGGGTGGACTAACAGACATTCAATTGTAACCAGACAACTGGATGTACAGGAACAGAGAGATGGAGGGCCCTGCTCAATGAGATTACATTCTAGAGGGAATGGGTTATAGTGACACAAAGGGTAAAAGTAGGGGTACAAAGTAGATTGTTAGAAAAGTATTCACTGAGGGCTAAGTAGGTAATTTTTGACAGTTGCAGGAGAGGAGTCATGGGGGTTGGGGGATAAAAACCTGCTAATAGTTTAATTGATATGCTTTCTTGAAGAAGTGAGTTTTCAATGATTTTTGAATGAGTGGAGACTGGGTGAAATTCTTACAGAGAAGGGAAGGGAGTTCCACAGAAGAGGTGCATCCCTGCAAAAGTCTAGGAGGCGAACGTTAGAGGTGGGAGTACGGACAGGATATGCATATGTCTTTGGCAGAGCGTAGGGGCCTTGATGGGACATACTTGTGTATTAGGGAGAATAGGTAGGTTGGAGCAGCATTATGTAGGGACTTGTATGCAAGCACCAGAATTTTAAACTGAGCCCTATATCTAACTGGAAGCCAATGCAGGGACTGACAGAGCGGGGAGGCATGGGAGGTGCGAGTGGACAGAAAAATGTGCCTTGCTGCTGCATTCATTATAGATTGCAATTGTGCAATCTGGGAACACGTAAGACCACTGAGAAGAGTATTGCAGTAGTCCAGGCAAGAGAGAACAAGAGCATGGACCAGCATCTGGGGTTAAATAGGAGCAGATGCACGCTGTGTTTTTGAGATGGAAGTGACAGGATTTGGCGATTGATTGGACATGAGGAGTGAAGGAGAGGTTGGAGTCAAAAAGAACACCTATGCAGCAAGCGTTGACTTGGAGGGAGACAGACACAGGAGTAGTAACACTTGAGGGAGGAAAGACCAGTAGTTCTGTTTTGGACAGGTTGAGTTTAAGGAAATGAGCAGCCATCCATTTGGAAATTGAAAAGAGGCAGTCAGAGACACGAGTCAAGATGGGCGGAGAGAGATCAGGAGAGGACAGGTAGATTTGCGTGTCATCCGCATAGAAATGATAATGGAATCCAAAGGAGCTGATGAGTTTACCAAGGGAGGCAGTGTAGATAGAGAACAATCGGGGACTAAGGACAGAACCTTGGGGAACGCCGACAGAGAGTGGTTGGGGGGAAGAGTCAGAGAAAGAAACACTGAAAGAGTGCTGGGAAAGGTAGGAGCAGCACCAGGAGAGAGCAGTATCCCATAGACCAAAATTATGGTGAATGATGATCAACAGTGTCAAAGGCAGCAGAAAGGTCTAGGAGAATTAGGATAGAGTAATGGCCGCGAGATTTAGCAGCAATTAAATCGCTGGATACTTTGGTCACAGCCGTTTCAACAGAATGAACAGATGTAACCTGGGTGCTAAATAGTTTTCAAAATTGTTTTCAAAATTGCTTCACACTCTGGTGTAATCCCAAAACTCCACCAAAAAAAGAAAGTAATGTGTTCTAGTGAGTGGAGCAATTTATACCATATATAAGACAGAAGAAAGAATATATATATACAAACTGGTTTCGATTTTAAGTGTAACTTCCAGCAATAATGGTATATATTTTTTCTTTACATATATACCATTATTGCTGGAAGTTACACTTAAAATCGAAACCAGTTTGTATGTATATATTCTTTCTTCTGTCTTATATATGGTTTCAACAGAATGACCAGCGTGGAATCCAGACTGAAGGGGGTCAAGCAGAGAGTTGGTTTCGAGAAAGTCAGTCAGTCTGGTGTAGACAACTCTCTAGAGGGTCTTGGAGGCAAATGTCACTAGTGAGATATGACAGTAGTTGGATGGGGCGTTGGAGTCAAGGCTGAGCTTTTTCAGAATTGGAATTACAGTTGCATGTTTAAAGGGTGAGTGAAATGTGCCAGAGGAAAGGGAGAGATTGAAAATTTTAGTGAGAGGAAGAGCAAGAGAGGGAGACAAATTGCGGATGAGATATGAAGGAATATGATCGAGGGAACAGGTTGTGGTCGGGAGGACCGGAGCAAAGCAGAAACCTTTTCTGCTGTATTAGGTGCGAATGAGTGTAGAACGATGGAGGGAGTGGGGTTGGGTGATGTATTGGTAGGGGAAGGAGAGTGTGACGAGACCAATCTCACCACTGTGCATTGGAGGAGCCTGGTTGCCCACCTGCTGCCTTTAGACTATGGCCCCATGTTGAAACGCTTGATTTTCCCCTGCAAAGACACGAAAGCCGGGTCATTCAGTGCTTGCCCTGTTTGAGCAGTGATACCCCAGATAGCTATGCCATGGAGTCCATTTGTATAATGAAAGACTATGAGAAAAACTTTGGCTGTGATGCATACTTTTCAAGTTATGAATAATGTGGAAAAACTGTATTTCTCTGGTTGTGATAATTACATTACCCATTGTGTAAGGTAATTGTATCACAGGCAGAGGGGAGGATTTTGTGTGGGAGTGTCTGAGTGTATTGTACGTGTTTATTGGTTGTTTTCCAAAACCCTGTGGGTTGGTACTATGTGTATATAAGGACACTAAACCCACAGCTCTGTCTGTTCCTGCTTGACCCTCAAAACGGAGCCTTGTCTCATTCTTGGGGGGATTTATTGTATGCTGTTCCAGTTTGACTGCTAGGAGTGTAAACCTATTTGTATGTTTTTTCCTATTCGGCCGTTTACAGCATTCGAGTGGTTCCGGTTCAGCTGTTTACGGCATTTCCGGTTCGGTGGATTGATGTCTACAGTATCTGTGCATGTGTCTCTGGAAGGGCAAGATCTTCTAAACGGCGGTTTAACCCTTTTATGCCCGGGGTGCCGTTACAGAGAGAAATTAGCGATCTCTTCTCTGATTGTAGAGATCTTCTCAGTGAAGTGAGATGCAAAGTTTTTGGGGGACAAGGTTGTAGAAAGAGGGGAATTAAAAGGGTGAAGAAGAACATCAAAAGTGTGAAATAGGTGTTTGGTTTGATGGGACAGTGTACTTATGAGGGTGTTAAAGTAATTTACTTTTGCAGAGGAAAGAGCCAGGCTGTAGGAGCATAAATTTATAGTGGAGGAAGTCAAATGCAAAGTGAGACTTTCTCCAGCAGCGTTCAGCAGTTTTAGAACATTTTTGGAGGTAACGGGTCAGCTTGGTGTGCCAGGGTTGTCATTTGGAGCGATTGTTGCATTTAATGGTAGGAGGTGCCATGATGTTGAGTTGAGAGGAGAGAGTTGAGTTGTAGAGTGAGGTAGCAGACTTAGGGCAAGTTAGATTTGAAATGGGTAAAAGGAGAGTTTTGAGTTTGGTGGAGAAATGCTGGAGATTAAGACAGTTGAGGTGTCTGCGAGATTGGAGAGTTGAGGTAGGAGAAATTTGGGTACGGGGTATGCAGATGTCAAATATTAGTAGATGGTGGTCGGACAAAGGAAATAGAACAATGGAGAGATTAGAGGTGGTACAGAGATTGGTGAAGATGAGGTCAAGAGTGTTTCCTGCTGTATGAGTTGCTGAAGTGGATAACTGCATGAGGCCAAAGGAGGAGGTTACAGAGAGCAGACGGGAGGCATTAGGGCAGTTGAGGTTGTTGATTGGGATGTTAAAGTCTCCAAGTATCATGGAGGGAGTGCTAGAGTAGAGAAAGTGGGGTAGCCATGAAGAAAAATGTTCAATGAATAGCCTAGGATGACCGGGGGGGTGGGGAGGCAAATCTTAAAGGAGTGGGCTTAAAAAGGCGGACAGTGTGAACCTCAAAGAAAGTAAAGGAAAGCGCATGGGCAGGGAGGATAGGTTGAAAGGTACATTGAGGGGAGAGAAGGATGCCTACACAAAAATAAACCAGTTTGGAAAATGGCTCAATCAAGAGATGTGATGACCAACTGGTTTAGGTGTATTTACTTTGTAAGACAGGCAATCAAGAATGAACACCACACAAATGCGACAAAATATTTATATTTGCAAAATTATGTTTTAATATATTAATCAATTAAGGAAGAGGGTGATAAACATATGGATTATTTGGATATTACATGGCTTAATTTTGCCGACATTTCTGTGACATAGAGAGCTTAAAGTGTTTAACCACATAATCCGTTTATATATCCCTGTGATTTGTTATGATCTGTGATTTAACATGGCATCTGTGATAGACTGGAAGAATGCTATGACAGAGCTTGGCAGATTGCTAAACTGTCAAGGTTATTTATTATCTAGGTGTTATCAACCATGCATCAAAAGAAAAGGAATCACATTGAATAAGATTTAACATATTGGTGGCAGTGTGCATATTCTTATGCCATTTGTATTGTCAAATGTGGAAGGCTGTCAGCTATTATCATATTATTTTGTTCTAAATACTCAAAAAAAATACATTTTTACAGAGGGGGGAAACTTAATTGAAATAAAACAATAAATCACAACATCCCAACATTACAGTTCCAGGTGTTATATAGTGATGGGTAAAGGTAAATTATATGATTTAGGGGAATCTTATTCACTGGAAGGTATCCAAGGTTATAGCCTAACTTCATGAACTATGCACACTTAGGTTTAGAACTTTTCAAGACATAATATTTGTACAAATTTTAGTAAATGCATATATGTTTGTGCACTGATTAATGATTTACAGTAAAATAATATATGCACTAGTATAACTAGTAGTTTCCTTTTAACTACTAAGAATGAAAATATATAATTTCCTTAGGTCTAACCATATGGTTAATTCATTACAGAAATGTAATCTTAAAAAACTAATCAGATGCTGAATTTTCCTGTCAAAACAAAACGGATGTCTCTTATGGCAGATTTAGATGGAAATCTAGATGGATTCAAAGGAATTTTATGCTACATAAGATCCTAGTGACCTTGTTTGACAATATTTCCAAATACATTTTGTGACAGATCCATCTGTATAGACTGGGATTGCTGGTTCGTCTGTTTTGCCTTATTCTTGGAATTACCCGTTCGTATGCCCCTGTTCAGTGAATTGACTTTTCTGCCGAACAAAACTACCGAACGGACGGCCACCCAGAAGAGAAGTGTGCTGCTGGTTAACCTCTTGATCCCAATTAGAACGTTGTGGTTAACCGCAGACACTTCTCAATTAAAACCAAATGCAGGGTGGTCGTCGTTCATATGTCGACCACGAGGCGGCGGCCATTTTAAACCATGTGAAAGACCAGCGGTGCTCAGCATTGATTTCATGGAACTGAAAACGGACACTTTTTCTGCCGAACACCGCTGAAGCCGCCGACCTCCCTTCTCCATTGACAGAAGGATGCGAACACCGGCCGTTCAGGAGTCAATCGCATACCGAAAGACTGTAATAGACTTTGACTCCATGGCGATTGAACTATGCGTATGGGATCTGAGCGCTATTCACCAATAATATGCACTCAGATCCAGGCTATCTGGGGATACGTGATACGAATGGGTAGCATTCGACAAATGCAAAGTTATATATTTTTATGTGTTTTTTTGTGTTGAATTTAAAATGGCGATTTGCCTCTGTCCTGGAGATAATTGAATAACTTCTCAATTATCTCCAGGGCAGAGGGGAGGGAATACTAATGCATTGTGGGAATGTTCTGTGTCTGTGGGTCCTGACCTGCCATATGTCTGTCTATTATCACAGTCTCCCATTTGGTCCCCTAGGGGAGTGTCCACCAAGTGGGAGACCTGCATAAATACGGGCAGGTAGCCCACAGTAAAGCCAGTTCTTGTTTTACCCTCAATGCGGAGCTTGGTCTCGTTATTGGGGGGATTTATTACCGACGACTAGAGACTGCTGGATGGAATTATTAGCCGCTTGGGAGATAAATGCGTTCAGCTGCTATTGGCGATTCGTGAGCTTGGAGCTCGTGGAGTGAAGTGCCCGTACGGATCCCGTTCATGAGTTTGCAGTGTTCCCTTGCTTGCGGTTCGCATGATTGTGCTGGATATGCATGCAGCCTATGCTATTGCGAGAGGGGAGGATTCACTAAACGGCGGTTTGTGCATTTCATGCTGAGGGTACCGTAACACATTTATTCCATTATGTAGGATCTCAAATTGTATTCTGAGATTGACAAACAGTTAAATATTCAGTGTTATACTGACACTATCTGTAATTAATAAATGCACACACAGTGACCAATATCGGGTAAAAAGTAGAACTATTAGCAATTATTGCAAATACCAGTAGTTTCCATGGTAATATCTCAACTTTGAATGTTTTAATTTTTTTGTACAGGATTGTATTTCCATTAAAAAGATATTAAACCTTTTGATTTGACATTTCTGCAAGCAAACTCTAAGCATAATTTTAAAATAGAGAAGCTTTAAACATATTTTTTGCCAAGTAGTAGAATCTCATACCTGAATATAACATACAGATGTGGAAAATGTATATTTTAATAAATATATATTCATTTGTTACGATTTTGTTACATTTGTCAAAAGGATAATGTGACAGATCCATCTGTATGACAAGTATTGCTGGTTCGTCTATTTTGCCTCCCTTCGCGGAATTACCTGTCCATATGCCCCTATTCGTTTATTACAGCTTATGCCGAACAAAACTACCAAACGGACGGCCACCCAGAAGACAAGTGTGCTGCTGGTTAACCTCTTGGCCCCAATTAGAACGTTGTGGTTAACTGCAGACACCTCTTCATTACAACCGAAT